TATATATATATATATATATATATATATATATATGTATATATATATATGTATATATATACTATGTATAAAATATATATATATTATATATAGTATATTTATAATGTATATAATATATAAATACTATAGTATATACATATATATATATATATGTATATATATATAATATATATATAGTGTATATATATAATATATATACTATGTATAAAATATATATATACATATATATTATATATAGTATATATATATAATGTATATAATATATAAATACTATAGTATATACATATATATGTATATATATATATTTACAGACTCAGACGTCACCTGCGCCACAGAATGGTAGCACTGATGGGAGCTCTGCTTCAACTCAATCTTTTTTTTTTGTTCCTGTTGCTTTTGCTTTAACTTTTTTTGCACCTACACTGCACATCCACAGTGCAGGTATGACCACAACACACTTTTGGAGTTTTATGTGTCACTGCCTTGCCATCCTGCCATCGTGGTTCAGTCTTTCCAGCCTCATGCTCAGGCTTCGGCCTGTCATGGCAGTCGTCTCCATGATCCTCTATCTGCCTGCACAGACCAAGCTTTACAGAACAGTTCAGTTCCGCTGGGAAACCTTGGATGCTCTCTGTCTGCCGGAACTGGTTCTGGAGGCAGTCTGGCAGTGCAGCTGCAGCAGTCGTTATTACCATCATGCTGTTAACGAGACTTGTTAACAAGACCACGCCGCTAACAGAACCACACCGCTTACAGTACCTTTGTGCTAACTGGACCATGTTGCTAAGAGAACCTCACAACCAACAGAACCACTCTGCTAATAGGACCATGCTGCTTTAGATTGATTTCTTTTTCATTTTTGGCCCTTTGTTTTTGTATTTTTGTTGCCTGCTTTGATATTTGTTGTTGCTGTTTTTTTTGGCGAATCGAGACGGTTCTTCTCGTTCTGAACATTTCAATACATTGTTGACCTTGTGCTGATTTTGCATATGACAAATAAAGAGTAATTCCAGTTCTCATTTTTTGCTCCACAATGGGGAACAAGTTGAAGATAACACAGAATATGATACAGACCAATAGACATGCACAATATATATGCAAAAGACATCTCTAAGATATCCTGATGCATGCTCAATAATCCAGGTAGAAAAATCCAAAAAAGTTCAATCTGGTCCTCTGGACATTAAAAAAAAACCAAAACAAATCAAAGCAAAAAAATGTAGAAACGTTTTGTCTCTCATCCGAGAGACTTCCTCAGTCTGAGGTGCTGTATTCAGCTCAGTCTCTTAAATAGCACCTTACCACCTTCTAACATCCCTA